CACAATAAAATCTATTTGCAAAGTCAAGAACGGTTAAGAAATGTCAGCCAGTGATCACTGAGTTTCTTTCTCCAACTATATTTTCTAGTGGAAAGCACACAAGAGGATCTCAAAAGTACTGAACTACTTCTCCCCTGCATTAAACTAAGCTTGTTTTTTAAGATGGAAGCAGTAAACCAGAGTTCTTTACTTAGAAATCAAAACCATTTGCTCAAAATTCCAATGTTCAGAACATAATTATTATCTCCCAAGTTCAGTAGCATCGCAATAGTGCAGTCATAACTACTTCACCAGCGATTTGTTTATTACTAAATTTCATAATATTTACTTTCTATATACTCCCTGTCCCAATTTATATGCTCACTTTTCTTTTAAGTCAGCCCAAAAAGAATGACGCATTTCAATATTCAGTAACAATCTAACTTTAAAGTACCTATTTTACCCTTAATAAAATGATCTACAGCTACACCAACATCTATAACTTATTTTAGACTGTTTTCTTAAACTGCCAAGTCAAACTACCTCACATTGGGACGGAGGGAGTAATAAACATTAGCCTTAAGCTCTAAAACTTAAGGTGAATTCTCAACTATGCAATACAGCAATATTGAACATTTTAAGACTCTGAGAAGCATTCTATGTTGTGAAAGGGACAGGAAAGCTAGAACAAACAGAACCTTGTGGAGAAGTAGCCAGTTTTTAGCCTTAAATAGATAGATAGATGAGATGACAGCGCATAATGTGAGAATAATGCATGTGGATCATGCATTGACTCTAAGTTAAGAACACTATTTTGTGGTCTTCGAACATATATAATATAATAAGTGATTTTGAAGTCCAAACTAGGTATATTTGTATGATGCAAAACATTTTATAGTGCTTAATTGCCTGAAAATATTTTTTCAGCAAAAGGAAAAAACAGACTTCCCTACTCTATGTGCGGATATCATTCTTCTACCCAACTATTTCAACTGTTGACTTCAAATCACTACTCTAACCAGCATTTCGGCTTTATTATCAATCTTTTATAATTTATTTTAATCAAAATATGCAACTTGCTACAAGGATAATCATCCATGTTTAATAAATATGCTTTGTCTTTCCATACATCAGCTAAACACAGAACATTTTTCTGAAACATCACCTATTTCTTGGAAAATGTCTACTGCGTACCACTGCAGTTTTAGAACAATTAGTCTGTAAGAGTCTAAAACAGAAAAGTACTAATATGGTGCAATGAATTCCCATCCTCCTACCTTCCTAGACCAATCTAAGAACAGAATAGCTAGGTATAGCTTATTACAAATTCTAGTTCAAAGAAATTTCAAAATATTGAGCTTTATTTAATTCAGAAGATTCTCCAACACAAAATCAAGAATATTTCAGTGGTACTATACATCCTGGAAACCCAGTTATGCACTCTTTCCAAACATGTACCTTTCAACAATGACAACAACCCACCATTAATCATTTCTTTTTAACAACGCACATCAACTATTCCACAGAATGCCTACCACCTCCCACCAGCAATATCAATTCAACCTGAAACCTTATGGTGCCCAATCCACTTCATTAACCACTAAGTCACACCCTTGGGTGTCCCACTAAATGCCTAATGTCACAATTTTCACCTATCAGCAAACTAACCCACATCTATGTTCTCCTTTTAGGTTTAAAAAACCAACATTATAGTGGTACAGTCTCAATATATCCTCTCTAACTCATTTAACCTCTAAAGCGGCAAAAATCAAGCTTGTTCAAGGAAACAAAACAACAACATCAATCCACAGGTCATTTCAAACAGATCCATGTACGTATACCCACAAAAATTTGATAACCAGTTGCATCGCAAAGAACAAAACAAATCTAATCCGGATAAACCCGCAAAAAGGGTTCTCAAAAATAGCAGAAAAATGCTGAATTGCATACAAACAAACACAAATCATAATTTAGCAAGTAGTACTATAAAACAGAAGTAATTGTTACCCTGAGATAGAAATTGAGAACCCTTTTTCCTTCTTCAACTATTGAAGCAAAAGCGATAATCGACAGCTAATTTTAGTTTCTCTGAAAGTAAATTTCTTCTCTCTCTCTCTCGCTTTGTGGGGGTATTATATAAACCCTAGATTGGTTAGGGTTTTGATTTGGGGATTTTATTTTTATTTTTTTGCTATTGTATATTCCTATTTCCTCTTATAATTCCTTTGTCTTTTGCGTGCTAAATAATATCTACAAAGGTATTTATGTCATTTAAAATATCAAGTGAAACCTGTTGTTAACCAAGAATCATCTTTTTTTTTTTTTTTTTTTTGAAGGAAGAACAATTGTAGATAAATATATATATATTATTGTTTCAAACACCCACCAAATTAAATTTTCTTACAAATATCAAATCGAAATAGAGTTTTTCTATATCAGAAATTAACATATAAAATCAAAATTACAAACGTTTAAATTTCTCTTGTTTACAACTATATTAGTCTCTGGTAAATTGATCATAATGGTTTGCTTCAAACTGGCATTTGAAAGAAAATTCATCAATTAAAATTTCATATATCATGTTTCACCTAATTCATTATGTACTAAAAGATATTATAATATATATATATATTTGCCTTCAAGATAGGCACATGAGTACAGTGAAATAGACTTTTTCTATACCATAAATTAATATATAAAATTAAAATTATAAACCTTCGAACTTTCTCAGTTTTATAACAACACTAGTCTCTCATAAAACGATCATAATGTTTTACTTCAAACATTAAATGATATAAAATCGGTGGCATTTGAAAGAAAACTTATCAACCTAAAAATTCACATGTCATGGCATACCTAATTCGTTACGTACTAAAAGATATGGTAGATACATTGTTTGCCTTCGCGAGAGGCACACATTGATTGCATTTAGTTTGTTACTAAATTTTTTTTGTAGATGTTTGGGATGATTTAATAAATTATATGTGTTATTTCGAATGGATAAGTATAGGTATTTATTAATTCAAATGAGGTACGAGCTGTGAAATAGAGTTTCCCTAAACCCGAAATTAATATATAAAGCTAAAATTATAAACATTTGAAGTTTCTCTTATTTCAACCACACTAGGCTTTGGTAAATGATCTTAATGCTTTATTTCAAACATTAAATGATACAAAATCGATGTCATTTAAAAGAAAACTCATCAACCTAAAGTTTCATATGTCATGGCTCACCTAATTCATTACGTACTAAAAGATATGGTAGTAGACATTGTTTGCCTTCAAGAGAGGATACACATTGATTGCATGAAGTTTTTCTACCAAAAATGTTTGGGTGTTTGTGATGATTTGATAAATTATGTGCATTAGTTCGAATAGGTAACTATAGGTATATAAGTTCAGATGAGTTATGGATCGTTAGATAGTATCTTTCTATACCCGAAATTAATCTAAAATTATAGACGCTCGAAGTTTCTCTTATTTAAAACAACACTAGTATTTAATAAAATGGTCATACTATTTTATTTCAAACATAAAAAGACTAAATGAGAGACATTCGAAAGAAAACTCATCGAACTGCAATATCATATGTCATGACGCACCTAATTCATTACGAATAAAAGATATGGTAGTATATGTTGTTTGTCTATAAGAGAGACATATATTGATTGCATGTAGTTTTTTGACCAACTTTTTTTTGAATGTTTATGATAATTTAATAAATTATGTTTGTTAGTTCGAATGGGTAATTATAGGTATTTATAAGTTCAAACGAGGTATGATCGTGAAATAGAGTTTTTCTATATCCAAAGTTAAAATCTAAAACCAAAATTATGAACATTTGGAGTTTTTCTTATTTATAACTTCACTAATCTATGGTAAAATGATCCTAATGCTTTACTTCAAACATTAAATGATACAAAATCGATGGCATTTTGAAGGAGAGGCAAAATGTCACTGTTTTTGTATCATTTGATCTTTGAATTAAAACATTATGATCATTTTACGAGAGACTAATATAGTTGTATATTAGAGAAACTTCGAACGTTCATAATTTTGATTTTTGATGTTAGTTTTGGGTATAGAAAAACTCTATTTTGATATGGTATTATGACCATTTTAGCTAGACTGTATTGTTTGCGACTGTTTAATAACATTTTTATTGTTTTGTTTGGTTGTATCGTATTGTATAGTATAGTAATTTATAAATTTACTAAAATGTTCTTAATTATTCTAGAATAGGAGATATGACTAAGATTAAATAATATATGGTAAAAGATTAAATAGTATTATGAAATATCAAGTAAGGATATAATTGAAAAAAGAAATTAAGTAACAATGAGAACACACCAAAATGGTTGTCTTATAAAATGGAGATTTTCTTTATTATGTAACAACAAAATTTAATAATACAATACATTTTAAATAACAACCGAAACAAACATAGTATGTATGATAATAATACAATACAATATGATACGATACAGTATGATACGATACAATATGATACCATACCATGCAATACAATACGATACTATACAATAAACAGAGTGTTAATGTCACATACATGACTTATCGAGAATGTGATTTTATAGAGTGTTTTTTCAATTAGGATTATTATTATTAGTCTCCTACTAGATTATCCTTCGATTTCAGTTTTACTATGATTTTTTAAAAAAAAATTATTTTGCTTCAATTATCAACTAGTTGTTTGTTATAGTACTCTCTTAACTGTGTTATTTTCTTTACATACTTGATTATTGATATGCATAACTTGAGTTGAGGATCTATAAAAACGATTTTTATATCTTCATAAGACTATGTACACATGATTATCTTTATAAATCATATGATGTCCTACATATCATGGGGCTTGTAATAGTAGATAGAATATGGTAGTTTAATACATATATTTGAAGCTAAAAGTGGGAATTCAAGAACATGAAGATCTCACCTTTAAATAGGTTTTTGCCTAATAAAGAACACCTGAGCAAGTCTCCTATTGCTTTCGCAAACCAGTGTACATAACTCCGAAATGAACAAGTTTTCTAGAACTAGACATAGTTCATACTTACAAGTTACAACTTATGTATGTAACACAGCTAGTTTAATGCCAAGTTGACTAACTAGTGGAACCACAAATATTAGTGTTCAAAATACCAAATAGCATAAGTTGAAGAAAAACAAGTTTACATCTAAGCACAGAGCTTAACTTCTGTTGATGAAACCCTAAATAGAAGCTGAAAATCCAAAGTTTTCAGGAGTACTTCAAACTACTTATAATACATTGAAACTCTGGAACAATGCAGCAGAAATAAGAGGATATATGTCCTCTTTTATAAATCATTTCTCAGATAAACAAGTGCTTACTGTCACCATTTGCTAGTCTGCACACCTTGTCATAGCTATTAACATCTGTCACATATTGAAGAACTTGTAGATTAGCAAGTATATATCATCAAGAGACAAGCACTAGATACACATCATAAAGTTTCTATAAACCTTAAGTCATGAGTAGAAGTTTAACAAGCAACATGAAATGCTTATACAATGTGTCAAAAATAAATGCAGTTTGGACATAATTGATGACTACATTGGTCTTGAATATGTTTGACAGAGCAAGTATAAAAACAGCTATCGCATGATGATAGGATTGTAAACAAAGTAGAACACTACCGTAAATATAGATATCATAACCTGAAAAGTCGCACTAACCAAATCTCCCTTTGTTTTAATCCTTGAATTTCATATAGAACAGGGACATCGTAAACTTTACCCTCCCCAGTCACCATTTGTATAGAAACATTTCAGAGAAGTGAAGGAATGAAGATAAAATTGGCCGAGTTGGGAAGGACAATAATGTTTAACTCTACAATCTATTATTCAGTTCACTTAATTGACTACAACCCACTCATCTGTTGAATATCTATAGATCTTAAGGTTTCTGGTAGATGATAACCATAAAGTTTGCATATTCATAGTGTTATCATCAATTATAGGGTTATGAACTTTATCAAAGAACACCATCCTTTTCCTTTTCAGTGATGAGTATGAAGACTATATGGTTCATTGGCCTTAGGCAGTTCTATATTCGCAACTTACAAAATGACCTTGAAAAAATACGCAGAACAAGACATAAAGAAGGGCAAAACAACAATAACAAACCCAGTGTAATTCCACGAGTGGAGTTTGGGGAGGGTGGTGTGTATATAGTCTTACTACCTTGTGAAGATAGAGTGACTATTTGTGATAGACCCTCGGTTCAAGTATAACATATCAAACTCAAGTATGGAAGAAAATACAGTAATGAGAAAATAATGCTAAAGATAAAGGAGAAGAACAGTAGCAAAACGACAAAAAAGACGTAAATGAAGCAAAAGAAACAACAAGTAATAAAATCATGGATTTGATTGCCAGTGAAACAAATTTGGTACAAATTGACATTCAAATGCATTAACGGATATAGGAGAAGCCAAGTGTATATATATGAATAACATAAGCAAGACATACCAAATGTATCACCAAAATTGGTCCAAATTTCTGCTTCAATAGACTGGATAGTGTCAGCTATACCAATTACTTCAACAAAAGTTGAAAGAGCATTAGGTGGATTTCCTTTCACAACTAATTCTTTTTCATCCGTGGATTTTCCAATGACTTTATCACCATCAGATTGCATAACCTGAACCACTGTTCGAACCTTCCGTCCTACATGCTCCTTGAGGAACTCAGCATTGACAAAGACGGCAGGATTTGACATGTCCATGTCTACCAAACAAAAACAAAATAAAAGCTCAAAATTGAGATTCTGTTTCTTCATGCCATTGCATTTCCTGTCTCATGACATCCATCATTAACTTCCAATGAACAACAGAAATCAACTAAAATATATCAAATTTTCCATCTGTATCTCAAATTCATTCGCTACACGAAATTTAGGATTTTGAGTGATATATCACATCTACAAGCATTTCAACGACTAGCTGTACCAATGAAGAAAATCAAATTCAGAACTCATAAATGCTTAAAAACCTTTCCATCTCTTTCCAATATTAAGCTTCTGGTTCAAGAGCTCTAGTAAACAAATAGTAAACCTTATACACTTTCACAAGCTCTTGCAATTAAAACTTTAAAAGACAACAAATCAGAAGCCTGTGAGTTAAAGTTTCTTACACCATCGAAAATCAGAATACGACAATACTATTAACAGTTGCTTATATAAAAACAATCACATCCATCATCGAACATGCACAGTACGCATCTACTAAACAAGATTAAACAATTCTAACCCGCTAAAACTTCTAACATCATATTTTACATCAAACCATTACCTCAATAGATTCCATTGTTCAAAGAATGACATAGATATCATTTGGGAATCATAATTTACCATTGACTGCATTTTTTTCAAGGATTTTTTTTTTAAAAAAAATTGCAAAACACTTCCAAGAACCTTGATTTTTCATTACCCATAATTACAGAAAGTACAAAACCAATTACACAAATGAACAAAGTGTAACAACCCAAATCATTAAAAAAAAGAAAAGATCTATTTATCACAATTTTGTGTAGCAACTTGATACACTATTAAATGTAAATCAGGGAAATCTCTACACAGAAAATTATGGGTAGACACCGGGAAACAAAAACTCATTATTAAAACAAAACTGAAGGGTTCAAAATCAAAACCAGTAAACACACAAACTACCCGGAGGGATTCAACATGTACATATTCTTAATATTTTTTTAACAGAAGATCGGACACTGAATTCATTCACGAAGATCAAATTAACACCAATTATGCAGAGAATATACAAAAAAAAAAAAAAAACTAACCTCTGCTATGGATGATTTACTGCGGAGAGTGATGAGAGTTTGAATCAAAATTTGTGAAAATGGAGTTTTTTCTACTTCCAAATGGCGGCAAAACTTCCCGCGCAATTCATCTTATTGGGCTAAGCTTTGCAGCCCTCAGGCCCATGGACCATATAAATGTATATTGTTGGGCCTAATTGAATGGTTTGTTCATCTTTAAATTTTGTTTACGTGGTTAACAAACATATGCTAGTTAATTAGTTATCATAATTATATATAATTATCATTCGCGACCAACATTCGGTGATCATTATATGGGCTGAGGTTTCGAGTTTGTATAATTCAAAATTTATATAGCTTTTGTATAATATAGTTTGTATATATGTTTAGAAGTTCAGATGTTTGTATTTGCATGAGAAATTCACTATTTTGAGTTTTACAAAGATAACTCGATTTTACAAACATACCCGTGAAACATACAAATTCACCTGCAAATTATACAAATAAGCAAGTTTAAAATATAGCTACTACAACCCGTAAATATGCAAACTATAACTATGAGACATAATTAAGATTATTATAGTGAATATTTGCAAAAATTCCTCAATTATATTATGAAGCGAAAATATATGCTAAAAAAGTTGATTTTTTTGTCTCACAGGGGGGTAAAAATTAAAGTATTGATCTATAATCCCCACACTTAAATTCAATTGATCATTTACCACTAGAATATACGAGGCCCAAAAAAAAAACATTATTGTGTTGCCTCTGGTGCATTTTCTAACGTATGTAAAGATATTCAATGATATACATCACTCTGTAAGTACTTGTACAAGCAGTTTACAACACTTTACAGACCTTTAGCTTCATATAAAGGGGCATTTGACGCGACGAGCAGCTTACATGGGAAGGATAAGGAAGTTGTAGGACATACTTCCATACTAGAGCAACAAATGCATATTCATTTCCAAGAAGCAGACCTTTAGCTTCATATAAACATCATATTGTTAAACTCATCGATGCCAGTGAGCCACTTCGACTGTCTAAAAGAGAGGCGCGAGGAACCTCCTGCAAGTATCCATCTTCTAAAAGGAAAACTCGTTCAGCCATTAAAACTGTTTCCAAGCGGTGAGCAATCACTAGTACCTGCATGTAAAGATTTAGACGATAATTAGAATTGCCCTGAAGGATAGGTGTGTGAGTGTGTGTGTGCATGTGAAAGATATCGTCAAATATTCTTGGCAATAAAATGTGTCAGCAATTAGCAAACTTCAAATCAAGATGGCTTAAGACACTTCTAGTGCCAACAAAGTCGGATTTTCTCACATCTCAGGCACGTTTTCAACAGCACCCAGTAAGAATGTTTGCCAGAAGCCAAGAATTTAGTTCTTTCATTCGTGTGAAAAAAATTATGCAGAAGAAAATGAAATCAAACAGGGTGAGGTCTAAGGGGTATCCACAGTTTTACTATGTGGTACATAATTCAATAATGATAAAGGTACAGAACATGTAAATCAGTACCAAACGTGCATATAACTACCCCCTACCAGTTGTATTGCGAGGTTCCCTATCTTGTGGAGACTGTTAACCTACGTCCTCATCACTCATCTACTGTGTCTGTGAGACTTACCCCGCTTTACCAGAATAGGCATTTGCTTTTTTGTACTTCCTTTTTGGTAGGTAAGATTCGTATATATTTCCATTCCATATGCTACATCATGGTTAACAGAGAGAACCTGAATTTTAACTTCGGTAAAAATAATTATGACGAGGGACAGGAGAGGTTGAGGAGCCATGGTACTGAACTATAAACAAAACTATAGAAGCTTCTTTCACTTACAGTACGATTTTGCATCAGGTGCTGCAGAGCTTGTCTTACCAACAGCTCTGACTTGCTGTCTAATGCTGAAGTAGCTTCATCCAATATTAGAATAGATGGATCCTGATAAAGAGCCCGAGCAATAGCTATTCTGAGATGAAAATAGAAAGGAATGAGAGAATTTCCTAGATCAAAACAGGTTAGCTATGCCTATGACAGCCCCTATGTTTACAATTGCAGTAAGCCTTAAGGTAACAAGAGCATTGGTATAGGTTCCATAGCATTCCCAAAATATCTATCCCTTGAGAAGGTAGAGAATAATCTCAATTCAGTGAAGAAATAAGGAGAGAATGAATTCAAACACACCCTGGATCCACAGGAATTATCCAATTAAAATTGATGAAAACAAAGAAGCTGAAGTACACGAAAAGGGGACCCAAAATGAATTTGGAAAAACATTAATCTGTTGAGAAAATCAACTGAAGAGGAAGACCACAGTCAATCTGAGAATCAAGGACTAGTCAATATTAGATCGACTTCTCTTCCTACCATTTTTGGATTGACACAACTTTCTTGGTGTGAGATTCTGTTACTCCTTTCGTTTGAGAAGACGTTCTCAAGAGGGGAAAGTTTTCTTTCAAAAAAAGTTAGGCATACTACTGATTGATTGTGTGTGAGAAATATATAAGAAAATTCAGAAAATCAAAGGTATTGGTGGGAAAAGTATCATACCTTTGCTTCTGCCCTCCACTGAAAATTGAGCCCCTAGGTCCAACATTTGTCTCATAGCTAAGAGGCAGCGCTTCAATAAATTCTTCCGCACTTGCATTTCTGGCAGCAAGCTTCACCCTCTCCATATCAATACCAGCCATTCTATCCCTATATCCAATGTTCTCGGCAACACTTCCAGAAAATAATGTCTGACAGAATTTTTAAAAAATTGGAAAACAATTCAGCTGTGTAGTTCCTATTTCCCACTTCAGTTGACCTTGCTAGCGTGAATTTAAGGAATGTGTTTACAACGTAGGAGTTAGCTCCAGATTATTACAGAGTATCACGTATCAACCCAAGTGTGAAAAGCGGACAGTTGGTTCAACAAGATGCTATCTCTTTGCTAGAAAATCTACTTATATTAAATGAAATGTTTCAATTAACTTCTAGATAATAAAAGCAATGTCCCCCCACTTTCAGGAACAGGTATTTTGAATTGAAATGTAAAATTTGAAGTCCAACTAATATATAGTAGTTCCACTTATTTTAGGAAGCATTTATTTTTTTGAAACTGAAAAACTAAAAGCTTCCTAAAATAAGTGGAACTACTATATATTAGTCTATGAGGCATGAGCACAAACATGGAAAAAGTTGAGGAAGTATTAGTTCAACTTTTTCGAGATGAGGAGCTTTGCCAAAACGGAAGTAAATTTAGTTGAGATAGACTCAAAACATAAGGAGGTCAATCAGAAGGACAGGTACCATTATTCAAAAATAGATGCTTAATAGCTAATCAAGTAAGATTGTAGGAAACATTTGTTAGAACAAAAATACTCAAGAAACTGATTTGAAAAAATAAAAATAGAGTGAACTTATGAAATTCCTTATGTATATTAATCTGCAGAAAGTCGGAATTTATACAAGGAAAAAACATAAACATTAAAACTAAATAAAACATGTGCTACTAACTACCATAAAAGGGGGCCACTGACCGCGCCACTAACTTCAGAAAGTTGAGCAACTAAAGTTGACTAAGTCTAGCTAGAAAATAGGAAGCACTAAACTAAAATAAGTAAAAACAGTAAAAATAATAATAAGCTGGAAAAATGTCAATTGTCTAACAATATTTTCACATAGTATTTATAAGCAGATTTCACAAAGTATATTGCACATTTATATTTTATCCGATGTTGGACTGTAGTGTTTTCACTATTACACATTTACATATCCAAATATCTACAAACTTAGAAAGAATTTCAACTTTCTATCAATTGATATCCAAGAAATAGACTGGATCAAAATAATTAGGAAACATAGGTAATCCTTACAATGCCCAATTAGTTCCTGAGGAACATCCATTGGTAAAGAACCTGGAAGCACTCCCTTCGCTAAGAAGATTTTCTAAACTTAATGTGGTAACTTTTCTTAATGTTTCTCGGATACAAAGAAGAAAATGAAACAAATATTAGAGCAAAATCAAGGACTAAAACTTAAAAAGAGGAAACAGTCCCCAATTTTGAAACACTGCAGTACAAAATTCAAATTTGGGTCAAAAAGCCATGGGAAATTGTTGCTTTGGAGAATCTTTAGACGATTTGTCTAAAATTTCTCTCCTTCAACTAGATCCTTATAGTGTAAAAACCTCAGTTTTAGCAACAAACTAATCATTGAACCTCTATTGGCTCTAACATAATTTATGTCTCCAATTCTTGCCATCCACAACGAGAATATCAATCATCTGCTTACCCCATACTGCCAGGTGATTCTGGTTAAATATCATGTAGCTTAGCCCTCTAGAACATGGAAGTTTTTGATTGTATAGAACATGGTAGATTGAGGTGAAATACTCCGCTCTATGGAATGTAACAAGAGGATCACGCAAAGAAGTAGAGTATAAACAATCACCAGGTAATGAGTCTCCATTCCCAACCCCCAACTCCAACAAATATAATACACATTAACAAAAGAAAATGGAGAAAACTTAACACAACTACTGTCTGCCATTTGAAAGTGAAATGCATAAGCATCAAAAGTCCTGAACACTACAACAACTAACCACTAATAAAGGTTAGCAGTATGTGGAAATAATTAAGGCAAAAGAATTCATCATATCATGGTTGTAAAGAGGGAAAGAGGTTTGGACTTACTGTATCTTGAGAGACCAAGCCAATGTTTCTCCTTAAACTCTTGATTCGTATGCCTCTAATATCCAAACCATCAATGAGAATGGAACCTGTTAGTGAGGAAGTAAACCTAGTCATGCTTCAGTAGAAGACAACTTTCATATTCATCATATAGGATCAGGGCTAAAGAGAATGCTAGACTGTGGTTTTGTGGTGATTAAGCTGCTAACCTTGTAAAGGATCATATAAGCGAAGAAGGAGTTTTACAAGAGTCGTTTTTCCTCCTCCTGATGGTCCACAGAGAGCAACTATTTCTCCAGATTTAATGTGTAAGTCCGTGTTTTTCAATACAAGAGGTCCATTGTCTCCATATCTAAAAGAGACATTAGAGTATTTTACTTCTCCAGCAACACAATCTAAGTCAACAGCATCAGGGTTCACAATTTCCTGTATATTTGTACATCATAGGTATTCAGGCACACTTGGTTGCATGATCCTAAGTAGTTAAAATAACAATATTAAATGCAAGGATGTTCAACATAGAAGTAACCTATATTGAAAGAACTTAAGAAATTTATATTAGCGAAGATCAATCAATCATACCAAGTTGAAGATGAAAGAAGCAAAGTGTAAAACAACTACCTAATAAGATCGGACTTTCTAAATTATAAGAAGATAATGAAAAATAGATAGAACTGAATTGGTAGCCACTGGAGTGCTATCCCTTTTTTCCTTCACCAATCATGACATGAATGTTATTTTGCTATTGTTATTGTCCTTTCAATCCTGCTTTGATTACACTACTTTTGAGCCATAGGTCTACAGGAAAAAGCTTCTCCACTGCACAAAGGTAGGGGTAAGGTCCGCCTACATCCTACCCTCCCCATAATCCACTTATGGGATCACACCGGGTATGTTGTCGAATGATGATATAAATAAAACATGATGACTATATGCTTGCAATAATGATATTAATGGAAGCAGTTGTAAGCAGTGTTATCAAAGGTGAGAACTCTAAAAAGCGCTCTAGGTAGATTGTGGTTTAAGTGCAACGCCGATTTAACTGTAGGTCTTAGTGAAGAAGAAGGCGCAATTGAAGAAAAACTAGAAATATATACATAATTCAAGGAAAAGTAACAAATTCATTCAAACTATTTTCCTTAACAACTACTCCCTTAGTTTTAACCTAAGTTTCTTATTTTCCTTTTAGTATATCTCAAAAGGAACGCCTCTTTCTTTCTTTTTTATTTATCAGGTAAATGTATCTCATTCATAAACATGGCAAAAAATCTGACTGTGTATACACCAAAAGGTAAAGAATCTACAAAAAGAAGCGATTCTATACAAACTAAGACTCATAAACTGAAATGAAGGGAGTAAGACACTAGTGCTTATTGTATTTGTTGTTTAGTACCCGCTTAATTCAAGATAGAACTCATGCACAATGAGGTGCACACCATACTGCCTTGCCTACACTGAAAACTAATCGAGTTAAAGCGCCTTCCCTGAGCTTTTCAGGGCTAGCGCGCCTTAAATAAGCCTTAGACAACACAGGTTGTAAGTATTTGACTCTTAAATCTGACAGCATGTGTTTTTTGGTTTCAGGTTCAACAATGCTATACTAAATTACTTTGTATCGTTACTTAAGAAGAGACCTAATTCTAGTTCTGCCGCTCTCTATCTTACATGCCATTACCAAAGTCATAGAAATCAACAAGTTATATACTTACCTCTGGTTCAAATGTTTTCAAACTAAATAGGCGCTGAATTGCTGGCTCTCCTTGTTTTAATTCATTGTATGCTTTTCCCGCATCCTGCACAACTCTTAGATTCAGATTGATAGTTAAAATTGCTGCACATGCTAAACCATAATATCAACATGAAGCAGTATGAGAAAAGTCCGACCGAACAAGAAAAAAAAAATAGTCAAAAGAGGAGAGGGTAACATAAAAGTGTAAGTCACTTCCAATATAAATGGGATCGAGAAGTTGATCAAATTTATGAAGCCTCTGCCTCGAGAAAAGCTTCTTCTATTAAGGGAAAGTTTTGAGTGATTTACAGTTTTATTCAAAACTTCCTATGGATGCCTTCTGATGTGACAACCTCCTGACTAACTTTGTTACACGCCATTCAATTCAAGTACCTGGATAATTTGGTACTATTAGATCAGCAATTCATAAGGTAACTATCTCATGATTAATTGTACTTGTAGGTTGTGCTGCTTGATTCTTATCCCAACGCCCAAAAACAAAGCCATGTATGGGGTCCAGGCTCCCAGGTAACACCTACTGCTATATGCTTTCATTTTTTAAAGAGTAAAATAACAACCTACTTTAATACGCTTCTTTCTTTCAAGTAATACCAGACTCGAAGCAATGTGCATTGCAACAGTTGAAGTAATATAAAAAATATATATAAAGTAGTCATTCAAAAGTTGGTTTAACGGAAGACAACAACAACAACATAGCCAGTGAAACCCCACAAGCGGGGTCCGGGGAGGGTAGAATGTAGTCAGACTTTACCTCTACTTTGTGGAGTTGGTTTAAGGGAAGAACATCACATAAAGTTCAAATCTCGATTCTTTGAAATTTGTCAAAGTTGATCAAGAAAATAATTAGTTTAGAAGTGTGTTGTGCACATGGGATGGAAGTAATATAACCTATTTATCTTGTTTCAGATATACGAGACAGATCAAATTTCAAACAAATGAACTTACAGAAACATAATCCTTCAATAATTGAAACATAACCTGGATTGGGGAGATCAAAAGAACCAGGGATGTCACAAAAGAAACCATGGCAGAGCAATCAATTGAACCTTTTGAAACAAGCAGCGTTCCAGCGCTAAATGTGAGTAAGGTGCCAAAATATATTGCCTGTACCAACTGAGGAATAAATGACTTCAACTTCTTCTTTCCCATAGTCGCAGATAGATCAGCAAAAGCAAGTGACTGGAACTTCTTTCTTTCACAGGACTCTGCATTGTTTGCCTTCACGAAAAGAATTGATGGGAGGATCTGTAACAAGTAGTAATTTTCCTTCAGTTACTGTCGAAAGCTTGATTCTTTGAATATAAGGAAGAGAGTAACATTAGAACAAAAAAGCTAGAAAGAAGGGAGAAGGTAGAAGAAATTTTCTTTATGTGTTGGAATGTCCATGAGCATACATTCATTTTGGAAAAACAAAAGCTATACCAAACTTCAAAACTTAAGAAGACTAAGAAGCTATTGCGCTTTGACTGAAAATTTCATATTGGAATGAAATGGCCTCGAATTACACAATGGATATAGAGAATTCATATGGTAAAAACCAACTAGTTTTGGATCAAAGCTAGTTGATTGATTCATTATATGCTAATGTAACCAAAAACACTTACCTCATTCAGATAGGAAGAGAGAGAAGCAGCAGCAAGATGTGCCTTGTTTGATACATCACGAAGTTTTTCGCCCAAGTAACCAATCACAAAACCCATCAATGGGATCACCTTAAATAACACCCATCAAGATTCGATATAAACTCATCCAACATTCATAAATAATTCATAATAATAGAAGCAAAGAACTAATGCATCTTTAGTCACCAAGGCGGAAAGTAATGATAGAACAGGGTTGATGACCAACATCTGAACTGCCATTGCTGATAATTGAAGACTACTTGGAACAATAGTCTGTAAATAGCAAAACACGAGATTTAGGAAGAGAAAAGAAAGAGTTTGGTGAAGACATAAAAGTAAAAGCATCAATTCTCTAACAGCTTAAATTTTTAGTGAAACAAATCATATCGTTCAGCATGGTACTAATAGCACTCATGAATTGGAGTCCAATGAACTCTTCCAAAATAGTATTTCTATGTGCTTATCCAACAAAACGATCACACAAGTGAGGGACATCTTGCAGACATAAATAAGTATCTGAGATCGAATCTCATCGCCACTGAGGTCGAACCTCTTCGCCGGAAAATTATCCTACCACAAAGACAACAAAACCAATTCTTTTTTGGTTATATATAAGGTGAATCCTCTTGACATAAGAGAAGGCTCTAGTCTAGTGTAGTGTTAAGGGGGTTCAAAAATCGTTTTTTTAGATCATAGGTTCATATTTTATATATGATATCCCACCCATCAAAACAAAATTTCACATTCATGATCCAAGAGAGTAATTACTTGCAAGCACAACAAATAAATATAAGGGTACCCTTATAACCGTTAAAACGTTTCGATTATGCAGTTCACACAGTTCAACAACATATACAGAAAACACAGATGATCCATGAGCTTTGTCGTTGGGAGTAACAACGCATCATTGTCTTAATGTGGTTCATTCAACATTATAAAAATACACAAAACTTTAGGCTCAAGGGCTTGTGTAGTAAGAAACTATGCTGCTCGGACTCTTCAAAGATATTGGTGGGTTTGTGTAGCATCAGCTATACATTTTTGGAGATCTAACACAGGTGCAGCAACATCTTTAGAGAGTTCGAGCAACATAGGTTAGCATCAGTTTCTCAACTCACATTCAAGAGAGAATAAACAGTATCAGCAACATCAGAAGCTTCAGCAGTAATCCTATAAGCAACATCTCCAGCAGCAATCCCTTTTTCTCCCTCAAAAAATCCTAAATCTCTCTGCAAAACCTTATGGAAAACACAAATCCTCATCTTATACACGCAATTCAACGCAGCTTCCCATAGAAACGCTTGTTGCAGATAATTACCAACGAGTCGAACGAAAAACAAACCTCCCAAAACCAAACACTCCTCTCTCAGCCTCACAACATCCAACGGATTCATGAGAGACGAGAATTTTCCCACTTTGGGAACAATTTTGGACAGAGAGTAAACAGATATTACACTACAGAGCCATCCACAGAGAATAGATTTCCATTCCGAAAGGAGATAAGGTTTAAGAGGAGCTATAGAGGTGAACGGAGAAATGAACTTGCCGGAGTTCGCAGCGGCGCGTGTAGATGATGATTTTACTTTTAAGGCAGAGGTGGAAATGGAGAAATTGAAGATGATGTTAGTGATTGGTTTGGTTACCTGGCGGGGGACTGTGAGTTTGTGGTGGCGAAGGGACGGCGAACGGCCGTGAGACGGCAGTTTCAGGTGAATTACGGACATTTCCCGGTGATTAATTTAGGTATTTACGTTTTTGGTCCCTTAACATCCATCCACTCTAATTTTGGTCCTTATAATATATACTTAATTAACTACATTGAACCTACAATTAAGAAATATACAATTTTTGTCCTTCTAGTTGAGCATTGTCTTATTTATCCTTTCGACTTTCATAATAGTAGTCGTAGTATTTATCTCGTAAGTTCTTGTTATTTGGTTTTGTTAGACCCGCAATCTACTTGATATAACTACGTGCAGACATGCCAAGGACTTGGGCATTGGTCTTGGCATGGATGATGGCAAAACAGTACAACACAAGTTCAAGGTGCTTGGGTGTTGGCAAGGCAGCTTGAACGTGCATGGATTACGTGCGGGCTAAAGGCGTTGGCAAGACAGCATGTTGACTTGATGAAGCAAGGCTGTGAAGACTTGGCAAGGTCAAAGACAAAGGCAGTTCACCCGAAATTGCCGAAATAAAACTAAGTGTGGAAGACAGCTAAAATATTCTAAGTGTTGGAAGCTGGCAGGATTATTCTAAGTGTTGGAATGAAGCCTGAAATATTCTAAGTGTTAGAATATTAGTATTTCGTGTAGATAAGAATGTAATTTGAATTAGATTCTATCTGTTGGAAATATAGCTGTTGGAAAGTTAGTTTTGAACTCTGGGCTGACATGTGTCGGACAGGTGTCATGTGTAACCGCCGCATGTAACTGCCATTGTGCAGAATTTTGATTTAAGGTGGAAATTCGTCTAAGGCAGGGGACAGAGAGTTTTCTAGCCTTAGACTGATTTGTGAAGCCTTCCTTTGTATTAATTATCGATTAATAAAGGTTGGGACTTGTTCCTGTAAACGCTGCTTGTTTATTGTTTGACATTGCTGTTTAAGTATTTCTATACTTAGTCAATTCTGTGGGTGTAAGTAGGCTGAAGTATTACAGACGCTGTAAGACTGCCTAGAGTGGTGTGCGAGAAAAATAAGTCGACCCTCTTTCAGTTTCTGTTGCTATATATATTATCTTATGTACTTCGATTATTGTATTATCTTAATATATTTATTGTTCTTATTAATAATTTCTATAGTATTTTGTCATGATTTGCTTACTTTCGGATTTTTTTCCAATCTGCTTTAATATGTTTTTTCTTGAATTAGATATGTTGAAAACAATTTCTCTACTCTCATTTGCATGTTGTATTATAGTAAAAATATGTATTATTGTTTTATTTACGAGTAGTCGCTCTTAATCCCTTCGTTTAGATCCAAACTAGTCCGTTTGTACTTCCATCGTTCTCAACAAAAGTGTAGTCCCACAAGTGGGGTTTGGAAAAGGGGTGTGTATCCAATCTTATTCAAACCTTATTAAAGTAGAGAGATCTAGAGTTTCCGATAAACTCTCAGCTCAAGTAAAGCACATCAAAATATTAGAACAGAACAATAGAAACAACAAATACTACGAAAACTGAAGCAAATAAAACAACATACAATAATAATACGAAAAAAACAAAGCGAAGTGAAAGTATCCATTCTCTTTGATGAAATAAGTAAGTTTTATTGAGAAAAACATCATGAAGATGCAAAAGTTACAAAAGAGATCAAGTAATTTACATGACTTAAGTTGTTCATCAACCTAAATAAGTTACACAAACATCTAGCTTATAGTTGGGAGGAGTAATTTGGAGTTGAAATACACCAAAAACATCAATACTTGCAGGGACATCCAGATCTTCTTCATGATTAAAGCATTCATATGCATCTTTAACTGTGTATGGCATGACCTACGCGAGTCCGAAAACATAATAAAACACGTTTCAGAGGTCAACAACAACCATATAGTGCAGAAAGAGATGACTGATACTTCCTAAATCTTGTATACGCATGTAACATCTGTCGACAAGTTGAATGCTTCTTTGTCCGGAGTCAAATATGCTTCATTGAAGTCTGTCCAGTGCTCTTTGAAAAGGCGAAACAGTAGTAGAAATTCGTTAAGGCTTCATGTGCTTGCTCATGCACTAGTTCCCAAAAAGGGTACTTCTAACCTATGTTACTTGGACACTTCAAATGTATGTCGGACCTTCCAAAAGTAGTACAACATTTTTGGAGAGTCCAAGTCCAAGCAACATAGCGTCTCACAATCAGAACCTCTTTTAAACTGAATTGTCCCGGTAACGAGATCTTGATTTGGGTTTGAAATTAAGAAATGAGACAACAACATGTGAAGAAGCTCTAGGAAAGTTGGAAACCTCCTCTATTGCCTCTTCTGATATGCCACTACAGCTATCCCAAACAATTATCAGTTCTTCTAATACTTGTGCATTCTTGAGGAAAAACCTCAGTAGCTCTATCTCTTTATCTTCATTTTTGAAACCAGCCAACTGAATCAACTTTAGATGAGACTCCAGGCACAAAACGCTTTCACTAGGATCATGGAACTTCCAGTTTTCATCCCAACCGTAATTCTCATCAGAAAACAAATTAAGAACCTCTAAATTAGGAGAATGCTTGAGCAATAGCATCATGATTTCCATGCAAGATTCGTCAATTGCCACTGCCAATTTTAAGGACTTGAGCTTATAAAACGTGACCGGGAAGTTTCTTACTCCATGAAATACACTATACAAACCAACAACAGAACCTTTGCATAATTTCAAAGCTGATGTAGAAGCGACATTCTTGAACACCTTATGCAAACGCATTCCAATTTCTTTTATTACATCGTCTGAATAAAAAAATAAGATGTGAACAACTTCTATAGACAAGAGATTCTCTATGATCATATCCTTTGCCAATGGAGCACCATATTTCAAGACCTTGAGATTCGGGCAAGAAATCTTGACGATACAATTGTTGTAAGCTTCTACGTTATTGACATAGTTCAGTAGAGACACATAAACCAGAGACGTTGAAACAATATCAAGCATAGTCATAGTTCCAAAAGTACAACCATCCAATACCAGTTTCTCTAGTCTTGAGAACAAGCAACTCGTCAAATGCTCGTTTGATAACTCAACTTTTTCAAGATGAAGAAATTTAAGCTGATGAAATCCAAAATGATTAGACAACTTAAGTACAGACCCATCAAGCCGTAATTTCAAAACTCGCAAGGATTCACAAGTCACAACACAATATGGCAACTCAAATGGCTCAGCAGGACAAAAATCTAACACGAGTTCTTGAACATTTCGAGCTGTCACAACACGAACCCATCGAAAAATAGCCCTTTTACCAAAAATATCCCCACAACAAAGCTTAAAACAAACAAGGCTATCCCCACATCGGTTAATCAACACCCAATTGATAAAATCTTTGAATTTCTCAGCCATACCCATATCCCAAAGCCTATCAATCCTTTCACAACCAAAGCTATTAATATCAAAATTCAAGTAAGGCATTGTCCTCCATATATAGTTCCATCTTTTCGATAAAATGCTTAGCTGAACAACATCAAAGATGTACAGATATGAAAGTATATTGTGCAGTATATCATCCGGCAAATAGCTAATTCTATCAATTCCTTCACTTGTACTGTTAGTAAATACAGCTAAAAAATCGGGGGTTTTCAGTGATTTTTGCATCAAATCATCCATTTTTTGAAGGATTTAAAAGCAGAAAACAGTACTGATTACAAATATATAGTGAGATTACCTCGCATCCGCAGATTTATCAGTCAAATGAGAGTGAACAGAGAGCTCGATCAGCCATTTTTAGGGTTTTCCGATCTTCTAAAAGGCTAATCAGTAATCATTAATCACAACTGGGGTTGTGATGAGGTTCGAGTCTCTTTCGTTAGAGAGCGTTTAATTATTAATTAGTTATGTGAAATTTTTTGAGATGAATATAATATAATTATAAATATAATATGTTTATGTGAGTATATATATATTTCTAAAATATATTATTAAATAATATAGAGAAATAGATTATCCATAAAGTTTGATATCTAACAGCAATTTCGATCGATTCAAAAAAAAATTCAAATTTTTTTTAACTTGTATGTTTTTGACTTATATCATTTGTTTAAGTAATAAACTAAAAGTCAATTTAAAAAGAATTTCGCTTCTTCAAATGTAGTGAATAAAATTTTTTTCATATTAAAAGCTCGAAATTAAGACTTTGCTCAATCATTTTAGGTATTTGGTCTTGAGAGAAATTTATTAATGTTAATAGTAAATTTGAGTTTTATATTTTTTTTAAAAAATAAAATTTATATATGCTAGCAGGTAGGAATGTTTTGTCTTGTTATCCTTATTAGTATTCGTAAGATGAAAGTTTTGGTCCGTGTAGTCCATTTTAATATTGTTATATTATTATCTATTGTTTTTCTATTTATTATATTTTAACTATGATTTGAAGAATGTTTATCGATAACAGTCTCTCTACCACACCTCTAAGATTTACCCTCCACAGATATATTGAGAAAGTTACTATTATTGTTGAAATAAATATTTTAAAAAGATTAATTATGTGATTTCTTGGTTCATAATTCATTAAAATTTATAATGATCCATGAAAATAAAATTTTAATTAATTGAAAATTAAATATATTTAATCAGATTCACAAATATATCTTTAAAAATAGAAAATTAAAATATATTTTAGGAATATAAAACTCAAATAATTCATTGAGATTTTAAACATATATCAAATTCAATGTATACACCTATCAAAATGACTCAAAATTGTCCTCATAAACATTATCCCATAACAAAATTATAAATTACCTCTTCACTATAAAAAACATTAAAACCTAAAACATAAAATAAACATTAGCAAATTCTTTATATATATGAATTTGATGAATATTAAAATAAAAAACTTAAAAAAGGGTTTAAAACTATATATTATAAATAAATTAAAGTGCTAATTTAATTTGATCTCTCCCTGAGCTTTTTGGTAATGGCAAAAATAGCCCCAGCAACAGCAACAACAACTCCAGAGATAATCATAGCAGTCTTAAAATTTTGTATTGCATCTTTTCTATCTTTTTCATTTTTCATTTTGTCCAATTTTTCCTTCGCCTGCGTTAAAATAATAATAACATATTCAGTATAATTATATAAATCATAATCTTCATAAATATATAGATCTTACTTGCAAAACCATTTTATCGAAAAAAAGAAAATGAAAATATATACTATGGTTTATTTTTCTCATGCATGAAAAATTGATCTTGTGTCATTTTTTTTTTCATTCAATAGAATGCTAGTAAGTTATGACTAAGTTAATACTCTCAATCTCATAATTATAAATTATATCTGATCAGTGGTTGTGGTGAGATAGATACGATTTCTTCATTCTTAATAAGATATTTCAGATTCGATCAAATCAACTACTACTATGATAAAAATGTTTTGTTATTTCGAAGTTCATTAACGAGAAATAATTGTCAAGTTTACCAATGAAGAGGACATACAACATCGTCAAACTTCGATCTATTATTGAAAATTTATGAAGTTTCTTCTCTTAGCAGATTTGAGTCTGAACGATTTTAATATCTCGATTAGTTTTTTTTTAAAAAAAAAATAGAAATGATTTACCTCTTTTTCAAGTGAGGAAGCAACTTGTGATGACACTGAATCAACTTGAAATTCCTTATTGGTTTGTGGATTCAATTCTTTTTCAGCATCCACTGCTGGAAAACTTGCAACTCCACTTGCCATATTTTGCTTTTATCCAAACAAAAAAAAATTGTAAATATTTTAATATTTTACTCTCTTTTGTAGTTTTACTTTCACTTTGTTTATGTAATTATAATATATGAATTATGAGATTTTGGTTGCAAAAGTAGGATTAAAAAGAATAGGTTTACCTAACACATGGATGACATTCCTTGAAATGATGCTACCATATATAGAG